TGCGCGATCCCATATCAAGAATTATTGACAAGTCTCTTCTATAGGCATATGATGAGGTAACTCTAAAATCTCAACGGGCATCAGTGACCAAGGACTACCGTTGCTTCAGTCGTCGGCAGGTGAAGTGAGAATTCTCGGCGCGATACCGGCGAACGAGACGCTTATTCTCTGAGAATCACGTGATGTGCTGCTCTACGGTGGGGTTGAAAGAGCGTTGCAGGCTACCGGAAAAAAATCTTTAATCGCTGAGGTTGTATCTCGTCACATTTGGAAACAAAATCCGCGGTTCCGTGAAACTCCGAATTAAGCTGATCGCTCCCTCACCCTCGCTACTTCCTGGACTCATCAACTGTACTCATCGATGTTCGCTGCGAACGAGACCATTCGATTAGGTGAGCTGCGGCCCCAACGCGGCTAGGGTCGGCCTATGAGGCGAACGCGCCAGAAGATCGATAAATTCTGCGCATGCTCCTTGCCTAGTGCTGCTCGCCTCTGAGTTTTCGGCGCCCTCTGCCGCAAAAAGGGCTTGAGAACGCTTTTCGACGTATCCGTTCCGCAACCTCCTGAGTCTGAAGAAGAATGATCCCTTCCCTCATTCCTGCCCTCCGCACCTCGAACCTGCTCGACATTTTCCGCTCGAGAAGAGGGAGCCTACGGTGAATGTTTCGCCTCGATCTTGCGCTTATTGCGTATTACGAATCATTGAATTCACGAACCGAATGATTCGGTGGTTTTTCCGAGCCAGTTGTTGGGCAAATGAAAGACACCGAGAGTCGCTGCTCAATTCGTCCTCGAACTATTCATCCCTTGGTCTCCACCATATGTTCTCGAGTGACGGCTGAGAGCATCTGCTTATCACTTATCACCTTTCTGCTGCCTTTCCCTGACTGTTTGCATATATGCTCGAACATTCGCCTTGCCGCGCGACGCACCGCCGGTATCGGCTGCGTCAAATGCGTCGTCTCTCCAGGCTAGGCACCGTCGACAGTGGAAGAGCCCTTGATCTGCGACAAGTTTCATCTAAGAGACTGATTTTGAGGAATGACTAAATAAATTGAGCGAGTAAAATCGAGGACTTTGTCTCGAGTCATCAGAAGCGACCAAAGTTCAAGGCCGAGCAACAAAGTTGATTTGCCCGTTTTCAATCGTACCCTCAGCGACACTCTCCCGGGAACACTCCCAGCCGTTGGCATTGATCTGCGTTTGTTTCGGTTGCTCTCCGACTGTTGGATGCATCCGTTGGGTCCCTAGTTTGCTGACGACGACTTCGTCCCAAGTGAATCGACGACGGGAAGACGAGGAAGGCGCTCTCGACTCGATGGTTGAGCGTTAATTACATTCGCTCGACGTCAACGCAGTGACCTTGGAACAATTCACTACATCTGCTGTTTGTCTATACGTAGCCCAAGCGAATCGTCGTCCTCTACCAAACACTGCAACAAACCCGCTCAGTTCGTGATCCGCCGCCCCAGCGGCATTGCGAAAGCATCCGAGGATCAACTGCGGAACATCGGCGGTTACGATGACGAAGACGATCGGGGAACTCCGAACGGAAGCATTTCGGAACAGACACTCGAGTCGATTTAGAACAAGTCGACCCTCGGACGGTCTTCTTGTTGGAGCAGATTGCAAGTGGATCGGCTACGACGAGAGTTTCAGCTCGTCGCGTCTGTCTCGAGATGCGGGCGGACGGTGACACGGCACTCCCGCAATTGGCCAAGGTCTACCGCGAGCGGCTCGAAGGCGGTCGTAACCGGGTTGCCCGAGGGCCTGAGCGATGCAAATCCGCTCGGCTCTGTACGGTCTCAGGAGGACTTTTCCTCGATCGGTATGGGACATGAGGAAGAGCCTCACCCTTCCCCAACTCCCAAATCCAAAGCATATGCGTTGTGTACCACAGGCGTAGGCACACAGTCTATTGCTCAGTCGTCGACGCGGTGATCCGCTGGAGCTGGCATTATTGAATGTGAGGATACTTCCCTCTGCGGGAATCGTCACCCCCGCAGCTATCGAGCGGCGCATTCTCGTTTTCGGTACGAAACACCGAGTTCTTCTACGCTTCCCCAGGCTCTCGAGCGGGGGGCGGGGGCAAGCGGGATAGGATGCGGGGGCGTTTTGCGAACCCTTGTCGGATCGGGCGATGTAGTGCCTGAAGCGCGAGCTCTACGGCTCTCCAACATTCTCGAGACTTCTGGCGATTGACTGTTCCCGGAAATGGCTGGGAGACTATGCATACAGGCGGGACCGTCTCTTGCAACTTTGTTCCATGGCACGCTGTCATCCTCAAGTTCCCGCTTGTTGACTGCTCGAACGATACGTGACACTACTCGAGTCTACAGATTCCACAGGATTGCCTCCGGGGAAAAAATTCTGGAACAAGTTTCACTCAGCGCGGAGCAGTATAGCCCGCTTGCAGAAAATTTCAGCCGAAGATTTCACGGCTGCTACCGCTGAGCCGCGTTCTTTCGGGCCGCGTCGTCCAAGCAGAGAGAGTCGATCAACACTCAATACCGTATATCTCCAAATAAAAGGCGCCCTCCAAATACAAGACACTGTCGGAAGTACTATAATAGAAGACACCCCCCAATAGTAGGCATCCCCTTGATACAGGACCTTGTCAAAAATACTATAATAGAAGACCCCCCAAATAGAAGACACTGACTGTCCTGCATTTTCGGGGTGTCTTCTATTGTGGAGGGTGTCTTCTGTTTGGGGGTGTCTTCTATTAAGGGGTGTCTTTTGTTAGGGGGGTGTCTCCTATTCGCGGGTGTCTTCTTTTGGGGGGTGTATTCTATTATAGTAATCCTTGCGAGTCACTTATATTTGGGGGATGCCTTTTATTTTGAGAAATACGGTAGCTGTACTATGCATCGTTATCCGCATGATCATGTGGATCCCGAATTCGATCGCTCCCTCGGCCATTTTAGGGGATGCGCCCGGGTTCATCGCTCGAACTCTCGCCCCAAAAGCTTCAGCATAAAGCTCTCATGGACAGAGGAAAAATACATCGGAACGCAGTAGGTTCCTGCTCTGGTGTTCCGGACGATCGCCGCTCGACCAGAGCTTAACTCCCGTCTAGAGCGCATTGCTCCTCAGAGCTCAACGGACCGGCTCACTGACTTATAGAAAAGAACCGAATCGTGTGCGTCGCGCGTCGTGGAAGCCGAGGCATTCCAAAAAATTCACTTTTGTATTTTCCGCTTGAAGCCAAAGAGGCCTCTGGAAACTTCGCTCCGCTCAAGGTCGAATCCCTTGAATGATTGCCGTGTTTCATAATATCATCGCGCACGAGTTACAGCAAAACTTTCTGCTTCGACGATCATAATGAAACGAGAAGCATAGACGACCAACTCACCGTGCCCGGATCTGGGGCTTCGTCTTTGAATATACTCCCTGGGGCGGGAGTCCACGATTGTTCGAGCTCGACTGAGAGACTCAGAAGACAAGGGAGGTCCTATCCCGAGTCGAGCCAAGTCGGCGGGTGAGAAGAAATAGTCGCTGCTTCTAATCAGCTCCATTTCCCACGAAGCCCTGGAGGAGAGTTCTGTGAGCTAGCCGCCAGCGAGTCCGCCAGAAAGACCCTGTCCGAATGCAGGACGGGGACTCTGGTCCAGCTTTGTTAGCATGTTTTTCCCTTCGGCGCAAGTCGCGTCCATCGAGTCTCTCCTTCTCTCCCGTATTGCTCTACCACTCCTTCTCAGTCCGCTCCATTCACGTCTTGCCTAATGCCTTCCCGTCCTACGCGTATTTTCCCTGATGCGGATACATACCTCCGCGGAGCATGCGAAAGTCCGATTGTTGCTAGCTTGGACCCTCACGGAACTCGTCTATCTTAGTGACGAAAGAGACAGGATGAGCGGGTACGCACGTTCCATCAGCGATCGGGGTCGCTCATTCCCAATGGGCTGGACATTGGAACCGATTCTCGAGAATCGGGAACTTGGGCTCATCAAACGAGGAATTCAAGTTCGGCCCCGGTATTGAGTCAATCGCTCAATCTTCACCATCGAAAATGCGGGGAAGCTTTTTTTCCCCCCGAGCTGTCCGAGACTTCAGTCTCTCCCAGCTCCCCCTGATGCGCTTATGAATAGGCCGCATGAATATTTGAGGAAAGGGATGTCATCGTTCGTACATTCATCATCAATCGGCCCGGTCAGATCCGAGCCGCCGTCAAGCCTAAACTCTTAATTCCGGCAGCGATGGGGGAGAGGGGGGGAGGTCGTCCCGATTTGTCATGAATCTGTCATTGCTTCGCCGATGCGAATGGCCAGCGTCTACGCTTGTCTGATTCGATTTTTTTTCGGGTGACCCGAGACCTACTCTATGAAAACTTACAAAACTAATGACAGAGGGATAGTAAAGTCGGAATGCTTCAAAGTGATCACTGGCTTCATCGGGACCTTTGTTCGAGTATTTTCGAGCAACGAAATTTCCATAAAGAGGAAGGCGTACTTCAGGCCTCGACATCCTCCTTCCCGCGTCGCTTCCTGAGCTTCAGTCGAGAAGCGCCGCCGGAAAAACTCATCAGCAGATCCTGGGGGACGATTCCAAGTGTTCAAGCCTCAGAGCGGCTTGGTCCCCACGAACCTACACCGATAAACTCGTCATCGTCCATTGCCATCAGATTGTGCCCTTGGCCTCGGGCTATGCCGCTCTGCCTGTGGTGCCAGGATCCGTAGCGGAGCTCGCCTCGCCACCTCTGCCCGACATGAGCTTCTGGAATTCGACTGGTCCAACTTCCCAGCCGGGTTTTCCCGATGAAGCCGATCTCCCTCCCGACGGACGGACAGCGTCGAAACTCATTCGAGGAATGGCATTCCTCGTGGGTTCTGAGCGGACTTCGCTCATCAAATCAGCGGAACCTGCTCCCGGACGCAGCGTGAGACTCGATGGTGCCATCGGGGCGAGGGCTTAGGTGAGCCATGGAAAATGAAGCGTCTCGAATTGATGAGACCGTTTTGTTGTGGAATTATTCAACCTTCTCGGAGAGCTCAAGCCGAATGAACGAAACCGTTCGCTATAATTTCCGCAGAAATGGGAGGACAGAATGATGCTTCTGAGCAATCATGAGCGAGCTCCGCCAGTTTCGCAGGGAATGGCGTCCTTTTGACCTTTGATGGCGCGACGCGGCGCACGGAAGGTTGCGGTCTGCTGCGTAACCTTGGCTGTACGAGAAACATGAGAGGCTCTGAAGAATCTTTTCGGAAGAAAAGGGAATCGTAGGATATCGCCTGCAATCAGGACGAGTGCATGAGCTATGATGTGCAGGAGCGATCTCCCGATTCCGACAGCACAGCCAGCCCTCTGAAAACGGAGCGGGGGAATGGAGACGGAACCTCAGAGAAGCCTTCGCACGGCTGCTCCGAACACACTGGGACAATTCTGCACGCTGAAGCGAAGGACTGAGTCCATCGCGTCTAGAGAACACTTATCGTGATAATTCCCGGAATTCTCGAACTCACAACATTCCACGGCGAGACTCTGCGGAGAGGCTGCCTCTCAAAAATCGGAACTTCGTCCGCCTTCGATCGCGAGGGAGGCAGCCGTTGGCCTGCCGCTCCAGATTAGTGGACGGTTACGGCGCGTAGCATCTGGTCCGTTCGCTCTCGACCGTATTCGTCGAATCTCTTGGCAGAATCCTCTCATCGATCGGCGATTTTTGTGCCCTGATCTCCACAATATTATTCGTTCATGGCACTTTCACGCAAGGTGTTCGTCGGAGGACTTCCGATTTCGGTGTCGACGGAGATCGATCTGCTCATCTTTTTCTCTCGGTTCGGATGTGTTTCGGTCACCTGGCCAGACAAACGACATTTCGGACCGGGGTCGAAGATCAAAGGATACGCGTTCCTTCTATTCAAGGTGGGTGCCGTCTGCATTCGGCGGTAGGCCACACATGGCGAGATTATTCGCTCTCCTGTAAGATCGAATGTTTTCAAGAGGTCTATTCCACCCTAGGAAGAGATTTCGGTTCACGTTCTCTTGAACAACTGCTTGAGGAATCAAGAAATTTTCCACATCGAAGTTCCGTTTCACCCCGAAGGCTCCTCCCTCATTCCCTTCAAACTTCGGAGAATTCAAGTTCGGCCCTGGTATCTGGTAAATCGCTGGTTCTTCTTCGACCAGCCGTCGGAACTTCTGCACCGACAAACCATCTTTGTCGGTGGCGTACCGCGCCACCTCAAAGCCAGTAAGTTGCAGTTTCTCTCCTTGACATCTCACCACAGAAACCACCTTCATTTTTCCCATCTCCGTGATCGAGACGCACACCCAGAACAGGAGAGAAATATCGATAGGGAAGCATCTTGGTCGAAGAAGCGACCGGGTTGCAGTACACGAGCTCGTTTGGTGAAGCAGGGGTTGTGCAACCAGGGCAACGCTGCAGCTTTGTTCAACCCTGAAATATAGGTTGCCCGTTACGCTCACAGGTGAGCTGGCGTTCATGATAAATGCCTCATTTCCTGGAGTTCGTTACGTGGGACTGGATGTCGACAAGGAATACTGCTTCCCTAAGGGAGCGGCCCGAGCGACATTCTTCACCCGGGAAAGCTACCTCTCAGCACTGAGGGCGCGATTCCTCAGCATCCTTTACCTAGACCATCGAGGAATGGTGAGTTCTCGGAACGTTCCCGCAGGCATCTCGGGAGAATCGGGAGGTGAAATAATGAAACTGCCGAGGAGTCGATCAGTTTCACACGTGGATGGAGGAATTTTTGCTGCGTTCTCGGGGTCGAAACACTCCTCTCCCATACACGGTTCTGTCAGCTCTCCGGATACGTCCGCGGATCCGCTGAAGCGATATCACAGTAGACGAAAATGCTGAGGTATCGTTTAAATAGAATTGATTTCCGACTGTTCGATTCAGGAGAAGAAGAAAATCTTGGAAATGAAACCGTACGTGGTAGACGACGTTCCTTGCGACGAGTGTCCCCCATCGCAACCACGGCCGAGGCTCGGGAATCTATTCTGCCCTCACACTGACTGCTTGCGATATCTTTGCGAGCAATGCTTCCGTAGAGCACATCCAAGCTCGGAAAAACAATTCGGAAGTCATCGGCCTCTCACCAAAGACCCGAAGATTCTCCTCTACACGTAATTCGAAAGTCGCAGCCCCCCCACTCCTACCGAGCCTTTTCTGCTGCGTCCGGCCTCCTTCCTGGTATGTATCTATAGTGCTTCCGAACCTGAAAACTCCTCACAACTCGTGGCGGGCGAATCTCACAGAGATGAAACTTGTCGCGAGCCTTGTCGAAGCTTAAGGTTTCGGGCTTCCCAGCTCTCCTCGTCAATCATTTTCCATCCGCAATTCCTCCCGATTCTGAGCAACGCCGCTGAGTGATATCTAGTTCCATCGGGCGAGGATAGAATTTACTTTTGATGAATCACATCCCTTACCCCCCATTCCCCAGAATTTCGAGTCGTTTGAAAATGATTCGACCGGCCGTATAATGTTCCTATCTATTGTTAATCGTTCACTCGATACATCGATCTCTCACACAGTTTGCTTGTCAGCACAGGATAAACTTTGCACTCAGGCTCGAAAGCTCAATAAACTCGATTAGAGGAAACGAGAGAAACACGGCGTGTAGATAACAGCACAGAACACGTGTCGAAGCAGAAGGCGAGCCGACAGGCGAACGAGCCAGCTAATACTGCCGCCTCGCTTGTGACCTCCATAAAACGCCTTTGTCGCAGAAACAACGGCCCCCTCTAACGGAGTGACTACGCAAACTCGGTCAAACTCGTTCGTCCAACCATCCAGCTCCCGAACCAGCTCTTGAACCTCGGGGAGACCGGATGTACGAATCATACGACGGCGGGGGAGCGAACTCCTCTCTAGGAGGGGCTCCTTTGCTAAGCATCAAGTGGATTTCACATAACCGGAGGTATAATCTCGAGTGAAGAGCTCACCCTCCCTGAACGCGAGAGGAGAGACGCTTGAGGTGAGCTCGGACTCCGTGAAAGTCCGAAAACTCGCGTTCGTAGTGAGAAAAACTGTACTCTCATATACTATGTTTGCAGCTTCCTCATTCTCGAGTCCGATACGACCGAAAAGGATTAGGGATGGATTTGTTCCATATGAAATCCTTTAATGGGAATCGATGGCAAAATTTAATCCACTAGGCCATGCAGACAGAGAACCGCGCAGATATCATGCGCACTTTCTCGCAGATTTCGTTACTCGACCAGATTCCTCGATTTCACTGGACTCCGCTTTCTCCCTAAGACGGGCGCGATCGCCGAAACCCACTCATTCTCTCGCAAGCCGACGGGAGAGTCATCGAATGCATGAGAGATGTTGAGAAATGAGACTAGGTTCTGCATCCGACTCCGACGGAATCCGGCTTCACTCCCTTCGGAGATCTTGTCTCCCGATCACAGGCACCAACCCGAGCCTCGTAGTGGTGCTTATTTCTATTCTAGGATAGATGTCGAGGGTTCCGGCGTTGGATGCACCAGATATTTCGGAGTAATTCGCTGCTCCAGATAGTCTTGTCAATCTCGCAATTAGCTGTGCATATAGTGACAGCATGTCGACAGCGCTCAAGGACATTGAATTGAACCGAGCTGCTGATATCTTTCTCCTGCGTCCAACCGTGAAAATCCGCACGGAAGCGAAAACGAGCCTGGGAACGGCGTGCCACCGGAGCCTGCTGCCAATATCGTGGCAGCCTCCGCTACCCCCGCAAAGAGGTCAACCGTCACAACAATGTGTGCGATGTTCCATATAGTAGTCATTAGGGAGGCTGCGTCTATCCATATCTCCTCGTACCGTCATGGATCAGAGACTACTTCTATGGATTCGTCACGCAGCCTGCAAAATAATAATGGCTCTCGTTTCGCAGTTAACTGAGTGATTTTTATTTCTCGCTCTTTCTCGCCCGCTCGGGACCGCTCTCACTGGGTGCTACCGCATTCCATCTCACGGGACCGTGATTCAGACCGTGGCTTTCTCCTGAGGGGCAGCGATATATTCACGGGAACCCAGCGATCAAAAATGCGAGTGAATTGTCGGTGTCAGCAGTCTATTCCGCGAGTGCCCTACACCTAAAACAGGGTGCGAGAAAGTGCCTTGTGCAAAATTCTATTACGATGAACGAAACCGCACGACCAAGCCGCCCACGTTCGGATGAGCGCGTCGCTCTCCTGAGCACCGGAACAAGCCTTTCCTCGCGACAAAGAACATCTTGGGTTGCACGCTTCGGCTTGTGTTGATTGCGCAGTATTTTCAGAGAAAAGGCTTATGGGCGCGACATGCTCGATTCTGGACACGAGTCTCTGAAAAAGTATTTCGAGCGAAACTAGCCCGATTCGTTTCATTACAATATTCGGTAGATGCTTCCGAGATACTGGCGGTAGCGTACAGTGCTTTTTAGGGGGCGCGTCATCATTTTGGAGCCTTTTCTTCCTCGCAAGATTTCAGTAGGTCCCCTCCAAAAAGAAATCGTTTGTACGCGCCTGGTCCACGGCTAGTGAGCGGGGTCGGATACCAGTCGTTCCGGACTGAAGCATCCACCTTGTGCTGATCCCATACATTGCCGTCAGCACGGATCTAACTCCAACCCTGGAAATTCGCGGACCCAAAGATAGTCTCGAACCAGCATCTCCGTCAACGTTTGGTTTTCACGGCCGCGCTGTCCACCCGATCGGAACGCGCTCCTAGCCAGCGAAAAATGTGTCAAAATAAGGATCACCGCGAGAGATGAATGTCGCCTCAAAGCCAGATCGACGTCCATGAATTGATTGATGCACACGGATTGGTGGTCTCGATAACGCTCACAGGATTCGATCACTTCCCAGAGAGGCGCCTGTCAATGACAAGCGAGGAACTTTCCGTAAATTACGACGTATATAAGCACGCTCAACGTCCCGTGTTTCTTTGAGTCCGATGCACTGCGTTGGATATAGGGACCGAGAGCTGCACGCACCGAAGAATCGGAGGCCCATTGAGTCGATAGTTTCCCTGGTTGTTCCCTCGTGTGCCCGAGACTCCCAAAGGAACGAACGGAGAGATCCAATCAGCCGTTATCCCATCGGAGCTGTCTGAGCGTTGTTTGACCTCAGCCGTTTCGCTGAAGCCCGGAAAGAGCCATTTGAAGGCCATCCGGACGATCCTGGATTAGCGTCTTATCTACTAACACGTCTCCAAATCTATCTACCGGCGAGGTTCTACTCCGCAATCGGCCTTGCGTCCCGCTCCACCAGCCTGGCCTAGGGACTAATGAAAGCTTTTGTGGCGAAACGACACTGCTCGACGAAACTATTTCCGTGATTAAAGTAACCCATCTGCGCTGGCAGCTGGAGGGAATCAAGCGGCGGCAGCGTCCGACCGTCATGGACGCGGATCGCTTTCGAGTGTTTCTAGCGATTTTCCACGGAAGTGACGCCCGTTGTAATTAAGGCAGGGCTGTCCGCCGCATTGTTCGCGCGTTCGCCGCTTCCACTTCCACGCCCGACCCCCCGTCAGGGATCGGCCTGCTCTGTTCAGGTGGAGCACCTGCAAGAATTATAATCGGGTACCTTGAGACGCCCGCATCGAGGCTGCTATTGAAGAGGTCTGTCCGTCATGGATTCCTGATTTCCCGATGTCTTAGCGGAGAACTCCGATCTCTGTCCCCTGGAAATTCCACAGAGAGCAGCGTCTCGGCCAACAGCATGCAAGATCTCCCAGGAACTCGCTTTTCGGATGCCCGATTCCCGATGCGCTCTCATGGTTCGAATTCTTGCTGTTGATGAGTTACCTAATTTCGTACGTAAGAGGGCCACGCCTGCGAAGTGTGGCGCTCCGGGGAACCATCGATCAAGGTGTCACAAGCGTACAGCGGATGTAGATCCTCGACGAGGATTATTCCCGGAGTTCCTCTGTCGTTCCTTCGGATGCGAGCTCCTGAAGGTGGGGTCTTGCGTGCTGGGCTAATCAGATATTTGAGCGAACCACCCACCCTCCTAGAGCGAGGAAACTCCTCGCCGTCGCGAGAAGTCGGCAACCGACGCGACGTCTCAGGCCTAGGTTTGCGCCGCGCCCATTAGAATCTAGAACAACGGAAGATCCATGTCCACTAATACATTTTCGTTGGAATTATCATACGAAATTGGAATATGAAACTTCCGAGACGGCGTTTCTATCAGAACTCGATGAGCGGAGAACCGTGGAGGGAATGGATGCCCGCCGTATCATGAGCTTCAGGCGGCGAGTTCGGGGAATCGGTCCCATACGGCTCCGCAAAGGGGCAGAGCCCTTGGGAAGCGGTGGACCGGAGGGTGTCTGAGAATATATTCATACCAAATGGAAGTCCACATTGGACGAGGAACTATCTGGAGAGAGAGATAACGATCGAAAGGTGCGTGAACCTCAGCGTATATAAAATACATTCTACCTACACCACAGTAGACTCGAGTTCGTTTCACTAGGTGTACCATGACGTATCCCGTCACAACTGCGATTACAAAGGACGCGACGTGCGCATGTGTCCGATAGGGGAGAGCTGCCATTATTTCTATCGTTACTCCATCCTAAATGACGTCGAACGCGGCTGAACGAGGATAGCGACAACCACGATTCTGAAACGACGGACTAGCGACAGTGTTGCAGTGAGCTCATCCGAAACGAGGCATGCGATGCCGGAGATGGCTCGTCATCTGATAATCGATAAAGATGTCTATTTCGGGGCCTTTCCAATGAGAGCGTCTGTTTGTGGGAAGGCCCGCGTTGATGGAAATCATCATGCCCGCGAGAGGATATCACGATTGTCTGAATGTGATAACTGATAACTCTAGCCACGGTGAATCTGGGGTTGAGACGCTCGACGCTCCGGGCTTTCACGACTGTGACATTCGTGCGAAACATCATGGTCATACCGTGAAATCCTCAAGCTTCCGAGTAAGTCAGAACGGAGTCCGAAAGAAATTCTCTGCACGAGTATCAGGAAGCTTCGCTTTGTTCCTCCCCGTCGTATCCGGAGATTCGACGAGGGTTTCGACTAGAACCCCGTCGTGGAGACTGAGAAGACCTCAACCAGCTGCTCGTGCGCACGACCGGTCGGCGAGTCTTCCGCGCCACGCGTCATGCTCGACGTCACGCATCAAGGCAGCGCT